CTAAAGTGAGAAGCCCGACCGCGCAGCGTACCACCTAACACTACATACTCCCAACTTCGCTACAATAAAATTAGAAAAAGTCATCTGAATAAACTTTGACCCAAATGAAAGAAGGAGCACAATTTTGCTAGTTTTGATTAATTTACTGAAGGAAAATTTTAAAATTTCAAAGAAGAGAACTAGGCATAAAGATTCACTTCATTTGGCTACATCCGAATATACAGTTGGGTTTAACCCAACAGCTGAGCAAAAAATTGAGCTGCTCCATCTTGCATACCAACTACTTAAGCTGGATGATAGAACGGTCTTGCTTCATGCATGTCGGCGTTCAGTCCCCGACCGTCCAAGTGGTTGGGGACCATTCCTTCAACCGTTCTATCCCAAATCCTTATCCTCACCCCTTCCATGTGCTATATAGTCGTAATGACTTGGCGCTTTCCCCTGATCATTGCCTCCACCTTGCTCGTGATGGGATATTAATAATAAAGCACAAATCTACTTGTTAATCATCTTGTATCAATGATGCAAGTTAATATCAACTCTTAAGTTCAGTGTTTTGGTTTTACTTCAAGGCAAGATACACTCTATTTAAGTCAGTGTCTAAGTTTGTATGGATGTGAATTATTAGACCAACGAAATGTCAATATTGATAATCTTAAAAGTAAGTGAAGGAAATGTTCAAGAGGAATTTCTGGAGTCCATCCTTGCCCTCATCTCAGGCCTGATGGCCAGACCCACACTTGTAGAAACAACCTACACATGAATGATATAACTTTGTTTGAAGGAGTCACTCATCCATCAAACTCAGTGAGCTCTCACTTATGACTGGTCACTCAAATCTTTTCTGAAATATCTTGTTTGTAAAGAAATACAAAATTAGAATGAGTGACGTATATAATGGAATTTCAGGTCTATAGGAGAGATCGAAACAACTAGTTACTAGAGGACGCTTGGAGACCCCGAGTTGAATATTGGGAGTTAAGAAGGAACTATCTATCGCTAAGAGACAGCTTACTGACAGGCACTTTTAAATCCTTTTGAGATCAGGTGATCTATGTCAGGTGAACTGCGCGTTCAGAGTGATTTAGATCCAGACAAGCCTATAACTCTGTTGATGTAAACTAGTGTAGGTGTGCAGATATAACTTCATGGTATAACTGGTCTATATTAGTTCTTCAAATTGTCTTATCATCAGTCTAATTGAATGATAAATGTTGTGTCAATATTTGTGTCGTGGCTCTAATGGTAAGCTTCACAATGGTTGCCAATACATATTAACATTCAAGATGAAAGCTAAATATTCAATTTATGCTAAAAAAGTAGACGTGATTTACACGGTTGTTCACCTGTTTAGTCCAGCACTTATTGTAAAGATTTCTCTAGGTTGTCCCGAATAAAGTTTCTAATTCTAGAATTCATTTTTGCTCTCGAGGTTTGAAGCTAATGTGAGACACCAAGCCACGAGTGTGGCCGGGGTGCGTGCAGCACCATCACTGAGTGGACCACACTAACCTAATGTAACAAGCACCAGGAAGCAAATCAAGCCATACTTAACATGTAAATTTTCAACTGACCAATTTTTGCTGCTGTATATTTAATGAATTGAAACTAAATTTATTAAATTAATACAGTACGTCTTAGCTGATGACTCAGTTTTCAATTACTTAGTTAATATCGTATATTGTGCAACATATCAGACCTTCTCAGACTAAGATTAATAATAAGATCATGAGGGTGAGGATATTAGCGCACTGGATAGTGGAAAACAAATTTGAAGAACACTGCCTTATATAGACGCAGGTGTCGGAAATCTGCCACACACAGCATGTTAACAAAGTTAGCTATTACAACAGTTAAGGAAAATGGGAGTTTTTCGTTACAACAACACGTATTTAAGCTACCACAATTATTCTTTTAAACCACAGTCTAGTGCTTAATCTTAATAAAACAGTATTCACTACGACTGAATATAAATAAATAAACCAGAAAAATAGACCTTGACTACTTAATCCATAAAACAGAACAGGACTAGAAATAGTATTGGAACACCACCTGGGAGAGGGAGCAGGGCAGCATGCACTCAGACAGCTTGTAAACAAAGAGACAGGGAGGAACTCCCCATCAAATTGTCACAACACAGAACAGTTCTTCCCACAAGCTTCGACAAAGGCTCCACTACGATCTGACCAACCGAAGATCTCATTAACAAAGGGAAGAACAACTTTCGGTATTTCTGTTGCATGTAATAGTGGCCATTATTAGTGTAGGAAATTATTGTTAGGACACAGGGCTTTCCCCCCAACCAGGGTAAGCTAAGTCTCTTTACAAAGTCTCTTTACACAATCCCCATTATTTAATGTCACATATGTACTTTAAATGTCAATGAGCAATTCTTACAGCCCTAAATTTTACAGGTAAACTTGTGATCTGGAGATATTAGCTGTTTACCAACTACATGACATGTGACGCTCTCATGCATGATCTGGCAGCCTCACAGTGCCAGCCACCATCACATGGCCCCCGGACCACATGTAGCCACACCCTAACACATGTTGGAGGAATCATTCACAGCCTAATCAGACCATAGCAACCATACAGCTAAGGAAATTTATAACATTTGTAGTACTAACCTCACTGTAGCTTGATATAAGCCACCATATGTAGTATAATTTATATAAAATATTAGGTAAATAGTTATGGTTTATCTCCACCAATGTGGGATAAACTGTGAACATTTACGCCCAACTATGTGTAGGACAAGCTTGGCAGGCTACATATACATACAGTCCACTACTTAGACTCATAATTCACTTAGAATAATAAATAATTAAACTAAAAAATATCAAGTAAATAAAATGCAAATTAAATATTCACAAAGAATAAAAACAAATAACTTTCTACTAGGATTAACCCACAGCAGGAAACAGTCAACTCCAGAGTCTACACCAGTCACCTGGTGGGATACACCCCGTGTGTCTCACCAGGTGACTGGTGTAGCAACACCCCGTGTGTCTCACCAGGTGACTGGTGTAGCAACACCTCGTGTGTCTCACCAGGTGACTGGTGTAGCAACACCCCGTGTGTCTCACCAGGTGACTGGTGTAGCAACACCCCGTGTGTCTCACCAGGTGACTGGTGTAGCAACACCCCGTGTGTCTCACCAGGTGACTGGTGTAGCAACACCCCGTGTGTCTCACCAGGTGACTGGTGTAGCAACACCCCGTGTGTCTCACCAGGTGACTGGTGTAGCAACACCCCGTGTGTCTCACCAGGTGACTGGTGTAGCAACACCCCGTGTGTCTCACCAGGTGACTGGTGTAGCAACACCCCGTGTGTCTCACCAGGTGACTGGTGTAGCAACACCCCGTGTGTCTCACCAGGTGACTGGTGTAGCAACACCCCGTGTGTCTCACCAGGTGACTGGTGTAG